AAATGAGAGTGTAGCATCCAAGCTAAGGATGTCAAATCTTAGTGCTCCTGGACACATGGGAAAAAAGGCTGGAAGGAAATGCATGGAATACTGATGGGGGAGGGAGGATCCGGGGGCGGGTCCTGAGTGGGGAATTCTGGGTGACTTTTATTCTTTGATCTTCTCTGTGTATTTTGCAATAATCTGTACTACTCTTATAACTAGAAGATAAAATAAGCACTTTTTTTTGAGATAAAGTCTTCCTCTGTCACTCAGGCTGGAGTGCAGTGGTGCAAACTAAGCTCACTGCACCCTCCGCCTCCTGGGTTCAAGCAATTCTCCTGCCTCAGCCTCCCAAGTAGCAGGGATTACAGACAGGCACCACCATGCCCAGTTAGTGTTTGTATTTTTTGTATAGACAGGGTCTCACCATGTTGCCCAGGTTGGTCGTGAACTCATGGGCTCAAGCAATCCATCCGCCTTGGCCTCCCAAAGTGCTGGGATTACAGGTGTGAGCTACTGCGCCCGGCAAAATAAGCCCTGTTTTTAAAGTGTACAGTGCATTTGGGGACCTTGTGACTGGAAATCAGATTGAACCATGGAATTCACAGAGAAAGATATCAGATAACCAACAAATAATGGATGCATGGATGGATGGAAGGATGGATGCATGGATGGATGGAAGGATGGATGGATGGATGGATGGATGGGTGGGAGGGTGAATGGATGGATGGATGAATGGATGGGTGGATGGGTGGACGGGTGGATGGGTGGATGGGTGGACGGGTGGGTAGGTGGGTAGGTAGGTGGGTGGGTGGGTGGATGGATGGGTAGATGGATGTGTGGATGGATGGGTAGATGGATGAATGGATAAATGAGTGGATGGGTGGGTGGATGGATGGATGGATGGGTGGATGAATGGGTGGATGGATGGGTAGATGGATGAATGGATGGATGGATGGATGGGTGGATGGGTGGATGGATAGATGGATGAGTGAATGGGTAGATGGGTGGGTGGATGGATGGGTGGATGGGTGGACAGGTGGGCAGGTGGACGGGTAAACGGGTAGACGGGTAGATGGGTGGATGGGTGGATGGGTGGATGGATGGATGGATGGATGGATGGATAGATGGATGAGTGAATGGGTAGATGGGTGGGTGGATGGATGGGTGGATGGGTGGACAGGTGGGCAGGTGGGCGGGTAGACGGGTAGATGGGTGGATGGGTGGATGGGTGGATGGGTGGATGGATGGATGGGTGGATGGATGGGTAGATGGATGAATGGATAGATGGGTGGATGGGTGGGTGGATGGATGGATGGATGGTTGAATGAATGGATGGATGGATGGGGGGATGGACTACAGGTCCATCGATGGATGGATAGATGGATGAGTGAATGGGTAGATGGGTGGGTGGATGGGTGGATAGATGGGTGGATGGGTGGGTGGATTGATGGATGATGGATGGGTGAATGGATGGATAGATGAGTGGATGGTTGGATGGGTGGACAGATGGGTGGATGGGTGGGTGGATGGATAGATGGATGGATGGATGGATGGATGGATGGATGGATGGATAGATGGGTAGATGGGTGGATGGATAGATGGATGGGTGAGTGGATGGATCGTTGGGTGGATGGGTGGATAGAAGGGTGGATGGGTAGGTGGATTGATGGATGATGGATGGGTGAATGGATGGATAGATGGGTGGATGGGTGGATGGGTAGATGGATGGATGGGTGGATAGATGGGTGGATGGGTGGGTGGGTGG